AATGTAATGTATTGATTTCTATCCAGATGTGTAGTCTTCCGTTTCTGCATGAGTGAATTAAAGTAATATTGAACACTTCTATTAAGTTACTGGCCAAAGAAATATTACTCAGAATGAGATATATTTATCATTTATCATTTTCTGAGGTACCTTAATTACTGTGGAATATTTACCACTTTAAAATTGGATAGTTGCTTAATGTTTGAATAATATTTACTAAACTTGTTACATCAATGTTTATTTTTTGTAAGGTTAGAAAAGCTTAAGAATGGGAAAGAACAGAAAATTTACTTCTGCTTATCTTCTCTTTGCTAATACAAATTTTCTTTCACCAAGTACAGTGACAGTTTATATAATAGGTATGTAAATTAATTTATTGTTTATTTACATATCTTTTTGGTGTTACTAGAAAAATGATTTTGAAAGAGTTGAAATTCAATTAATTAAGGTTAATTAAGTCTCTTGAAATTTTAGAAATAATAGAATCTCATGAAGTTCTATATATTTTCCTAATTTTGCATTAACAAAATTGCAAAAGAATTAAATTTTTTTAGAGATTTGAGTAAAAGGACATATTCTAATTTTAGTTTTAATTGTGACACATTTTATTGTACTTCTTTAAGAAAATTTTCTCTCTTGTATGGTAAATTTTGTTCTAAGGGTAAATTTTGTGCTAGAGAATTTTCATCTAACTTAACAACATTAAAAGCTTAACTTCCTTTTCACACTTTGTGTAATTATTTGAATAATAAATTACCATTTATATCTGCTTAATTTACCACATCTTTAAGGAAGTAGGAATAAGGACATTTCTTAACAGAATATCAAAAGCTTGTGAGCATACACCAAGCCCATCCTATATGTTTGTAAGCTTTCTTTTCAAAATCAATTATTCTCATATCAAAATAGCATTGGCCCCTTCAAGTGGTAAAGTGAACACTAGGACTCATTATTATTATTCTCAAAAAAGAGAACTTTATGAGTCTTGTATTCATTTTATTTTTTCCTTCTGTGTGACATTTTTTTTTATTTTTGCAGAATTTGTAATTTCTGACATCTCCTGATATGTAGGTTTAAATTGGGTATTTTAATCACATATGGAGTAAAGAACAAAAAATTCTTCATGTAAATATTTTATTCACATATCTGAAATCATTATAAAAGAATATTATTGATTAAAGGCTCTCATTGCTTCCATGATTGTTTATGAATAAGGACAGTTAGTTCACATTTTATTGGTTTAGTTATCTTTGAGATTTATGAATCTTAAAAGAAAATTTTGTTTACTAATTATATATATCATCTTAATTTGTAACAATTTATTTCACTATTTTAAAAGAAGGTATATTACATTTTGTTAGAAGGTTAAATATTTTTATATTTTCAAATTGTGTATTTTAAAATTGTGTTTGTTATGAAGTCCTTATTCATACTGTGATTTTGGAATCAAACACTTTACATGAAAGGTATTTGAGTTTTGAACAGAGAAGGAGGTTTTTCTTTTTGTACATAACATTTTGTTGTGTTAACCACATGAGAAAAGTTAATGCTTATGTTTCTTAACATGAAAATGAATATTCATGTATCAGGAGAGAAATATCTACTGTATTTTGGAACATTTTTACCAAGATGTTATATTTGGCACTTACAACATCACTTGTGGCACAGAAGGGAAACTGAAGAAATGTGCATGAGAAATTGTTCTACAATTTAGTCATGAAGGTATTTCTTCTAAACCCCCTTCACAAAAAAGTTATACTTTAAGGAATTTGTTTTTTATGTCTGTTGACACACAATTGAAGCCACAAGTTTGCAGTGATTCATGTATCTGGTACAGTTATATTTTGATTGTGTGGTATGAAAAAAATGTATAGTAATAGTAGCATTTTTTAATGTTATCAATAACATTTAATTATTCAGATCATACATTGCTTTATTGAATATGCATTTGTTATGCATATAAAACCAGTAATTTCTATGAAATGTCATCCTGGTATAGATTAACAAGACTACATTTGTAATTCAGTGTGATCTGCATCTCCCCCACAAAAAATCAAGGTCAGCATCTAAAATTCCAAATTTAAATACTTGACAAATTTAAATATTATTGAAAGGTTCTGTTTGAAACAATAAATTATTATGTGAAATACTTTTAGGAATCTTCTTTAAAACAGACAAAATTGTATTCTATTAATAAGTCAAGTTATTTTATTACATATTATTCTGATTTGGGGTATTTGAATGCTACCAGCTACCCTTCTTTGAAAAACTGAAATTCTTGAACTTTTTAATTGATAATGAATATTTTGTAAGAAGAGGAAGTTTAAGAGTATTACAAAGGGTTGAAATTCAACGTTCTGAAAAATATTTTTTGTATTTACCTATCATTTCAATGAAAACATAAAAAATGACATAATCCACATCTTTTGGTCACTTTGGTTCTATGTGATAATAATTTATTTCTGCTTTGAATATAAGAGAAAGAAGCACAAATATTAATATGAGAAAAATTTGAGAAATAAAAATTATTGAGCAATACTTCATTATTTCACATTCTTCTTTGAACAGTAAATACGTTGCCAAGAAAATATTACTCTACATTAGAATATATTATAATTTTGTAATGCATGAATTTGGGAAATTTTTTAGGATTTTTTTATTGCCCACAAGTTACGAAAATTATGTAATATAATTTTGATAATTCATTTTAGAGCTGTAAGTACCAATGCCTCTCTTTTTATCCACCTATTTTTTATCTCAATATTCTTAGAACTTTGAACTAAATTGAGGGTTTGCAGTTATTTGACACATTTCAGAGAAAAGTCTGTAGTAAATATTAGTAAATGTCTGGAGAAGGCAGTACCAGAACATTTTTTTATAAATAATTATAATAATATTGCAATATTTTATGAAAATAGAAAAACATACTGATGAGAAATGAAATATAATTTCATTTGGGATACTGGATCTTGCAAAATACTTCACATATTTCAAATTAACCAATACAAAAATGTTTAGAAACAACTATTGTTATTTTGATTTCTTGCATGAAGTAGAAAGTTCATGCTTTTTCCATGGTCAGTGGAACAAATTCACCTGCTCTATTGCATTAGAAACACTGCTATTATTTCCTATTGTAAATGTACTTGAAATATATTGACAAACATGAAAACTTCCAAACACTTTTCTAAATATTGTTCTTTACAAGGATGTACAGTAGTGTAAACAGCATATTTTGAAAGAAATGAAAAGTACTTCTTACATTTTATATTTAAATCATTTTAACAAATGTAACTGTCTTGTTGCTTCAAATCATTGGATTCGAAGACTTAATGTTAATGACAGAATTAGTATACATTCTGTCTTTCTGTATGCTACTAACTATCCAGTGATGATACTCTAATACACTCCAAATACTTTTTATTTAGTTCTTGTTATTTTGTGTAGAAGTATTAATTTGAATGAAAACTGTATGCTTGATTGTGTGTTCTACAGATCTGTAGATACAGTGTTGACTATGAATGGGGTACTTGTGAACAAGTATTCCATTTTATCATATTTACTTTCTCATATCTACTGCATTTTTGGTTAATAAAATTTTGAATTAACAGGATGTTTATTTCTATTTCATGAATAAAAATATCAATTAGAGAAAAAGGTAAAATATCTGTTTTAGGAAACAAGTTGCATAATTGGAATTAAAAATTTAACAATCAAATCTATTATGTTGAATTTGTTGTTGCTGCATAATTTACTGAACCAGGATTTTACTGCTAATATCATGTTGACTTCATTTGTTTTACAACTTTTCTGAATGTTATGAAAGTGCATTGACACTCTCAGCTACAGATTTATTGATACAAATCTCCTATTTGCCTAATATGTGGAAAATGTCTAATTAAAGAAATTTAGTTGAATTATAGTTATTTTGATTTCTCTAAAAGAAAGAGTAATTATTGAGGCAAACTACTTCATAATTAGGCCTTGTGAAGGGATTAGTAATTTCACATATATATTTACTAGACTTGAGCGTCAGTGGATTGGAATTTCTTATACAGAAGTACAAAGAGAAATTTGTGCGCTGATTGCTGTATGAAAAATGCTTGAATTGATCTCAAATTCATGTGTAAGGTATAGTATTCCAGAAAGGTGTTTCATGTACAGTGTGAAATGAAGATCAGCAAAAAGAATTTCATTGTTTTACTTCTCGGGGAGGAAAGATATTGATGCTGAGGTGACTTGTTTTTATATACAGAAAAAATTTCAGCTGGGCTTGATTTATGTGAATTCACAGAGGTATGAGATCATTATGAATTAGAGATTAATTAAGTTCCTTCAAATGTCGCCAGCATAACAATTTCATAACTAATATTTTTTTGGTATTTCCATACCAATAAATAGACATGTACTATTATAATAAATGTTCTTCACAATGGTATTAACTGTTTACAAAGTGCAAAACCACACATCTAAGCTGGGAAGTGAAGATGTGTGCTCGGGCTCGTGGCATTCACAAAACTAGGCGCATCGTGCACCATATATCTCTGTTTGAAAACAATCACACTGGTTACTCGTATTGCGGTTATGTATCGTAGGATACTTGCTTATACTGCGATTATCACGTACGATTCGGAAGCTCACTCCAGTCACTAATGCGGAGTCAACAATCGTTTTTCAGGATTCTAGAGTTCACAGCTCGTACAGAACGAAGCGTGTGGGATCGTTAATAACGAAGTTACATAGCGTACAAACGTTTGTCTGCGGCTCGCGAGGGAGACTTTATTTTTTGGCCATCGCTCGCGCACAAACGCAATCCCCGCAGCCGCTGGGGCGCCTGCGCAGTCGCTGCCGCCGCCGACGGCACGCATGCGCAAACCCCGGCGCCGCCGACGCGCATGCGCAGACGCTGCCGCCCGCGACGCGCATGCGCGGAGGTCGGTCGAAGGGGCGCCAGCGGGTGGCGGCGGCGACGGCGGCGACGGCGCCGCCTGAGGCGTGGGCGGACCCGCGGGGGCGACGGGGTGGGCGGGGCGCGGGCGATGGCGCGGGCGCGGGCGCGGCGTGGCGAGCGTTCAGTTGCCGCCGCTTCAGTCGCCGACGAACCCGCCCCCGCCGCCCCCGTTGCGCAGCCCCGCCTTCTGGTCCGGAGGCACCTGTTTGCGAAAGCAGTCGTCCAGGAAGTTGGCCATGGAGCGATACAGGTGGCGCTTGACGCCGCTCAGGCTGTGGCTTTCGTCGGGGTACACCTGCGCAGAGGAAATTTGCTGGCGTGATCGAATGCAAATTGTTTCTGCCAAGTTCATGAGAAGAATCTACGAGTAAAAAGTTAAAGAGTATAATATATGCGTTGGGGTATACGTCAGGGAGACTATTTTATTTTAGATTTCATATAAATGTTGCAGACTAGTAGGCTGATTATCCCTTCACCTAAGATGTTAAAGGATTTTCTTCTCTTCGACTCTCTACGCCTACGGAGTGGAGACGGGAGGTCGCCGAAGCGGAGGACTAAAAATCAACTTTTGTCACTTTCTATAAAAAGACACACTACCCATTTGCACTCTACGCAAAAACTATGCCATTTAGAAAAATTGTAGAACTCAGGGGACTGTGGCTATAGGATACATAAAGTTATAAGACGCTAATCTTATAGCAATAACGGCGCCGAACTCTGGAGCTTGCAACCAGCGAAAAAGTCTTTTCTGGTCTAAAAATGTATTTGAAATATTTTTTCAGAGAAACATTTCTTCCTTATTGAAATGCAAAAAACTTACTTATATTTTACGTACGGTGCCCATGGGAACAAAAATAACATTCCTGAAGTTGTCCAGAATGAAAATGTTGATTACGTTGTAGAATGAAATTTTGTTAATGTTGCACTCTTTCCTTCGTCTTCCTTGCCCTATCTTCACTCCTCACTTACACACACACACACACACACACACACACATGCACACATATGCACAAGGATATCACACACGAGACTAGTTAGAGCTTGTGTCTACCGGGGCGGTGCCCCGCTGGAGGGAGATACCTGCTTGGGGAAATCCCCGCAAGCTGACATAGGTCGGCACTGGATTATGTCAACCAGCGGGGGAAGATCACCATCACCTCCGGCAATGAAAACATGCACTACAACATTTACTGGTGTAATGGCCTAAGCCGTTGACGCGCCCGGTATCATTAATCAATCAGTCAAACGATTTGAAACATACCGTCGTTAGGTTTGGTACTCGCAGGACTCAAACAAAGAGAAGCAGAATATTCAAAAAATAGAGCGGACTTTTGTTTCAGGAAGTAAGTGATAGACAAATACGTATTATTCACTGATGATGCGCAATTAGTATATCATCTAGTTTCTATTTTTTGCCGTAATACATAAGAACAAGTTTTCGAATGTGTACAAATACAATGAAGCAAAATTATAAATGAGTTGCATACGCAGTGGGAGTATGATGTCTTCAGGATTTATAATTTGCCTTGAGCACTCTCATTCAGCAATTTGCTGCAACTTCTTCTAAGCTATTACTGCTAGTAATAATAATATTAATAATAATTTTTGTGTAACAGAAATATCAATTTATAAAATAAACAACATTATTTTTCGAAACAAATTTTAAATGCAGTTTTGCATTAGGCAACATAAGATGGTAGTATGACCTCACACAGGGAGCCGAGCAGGGAGAATGGAGAGTGAGGACAGGGTCCTGAGAAATAGTCGGTGAGGACGGCCGGTGAAAAAAGGCATGTGAGGTCGCCCGATAAGGACGGCTGGTGAGGATGGTCGATGTAAACAGGCTATGAGGACGAGCCGTGAGAACTGGAGGGGCGACTGGCAAGGTCGGGCCTGAGAGATGTTCCATGTCATAAAATACCCTTTTATGAACGATTTCTTGCGACGATATTGCTCCCGGAAAGGACGTTGTTTATAGTGCTGGTGCATAAAAAACAATTTTACAGTACATGTTTTGTTGTTTATAATTTCTGCAAGCAGTACGAATTGGAATGAATTTTGTGTGATTTACAATTTCTAACAATAATAATAAAATAATTTGAATAATAATTAATTTAATTTGTTACTTTCCTTACCAACTTCCTTTCAATACGTTTTCTAATATTAGTCATGCAACCATTCGTAAGTTTCATATTAAAGCATCAATAAATATTAATGCAATATTTTTACGTCATATGCAAAATTTTATAATTAAATAAAATATACAGTTTTTCTTGCGAAGAATGCAGTGGTGCGTGTCCACTTTTCTTTCTTTGTTTCCTTCCCTCTTTCTCGTTCGACGCAAGTGAATGTTTGCATGGGAGCTGGCTACTTGCTACCGCAGTGACTCACGTGGGAATCGCCCGACTGCATCCCGAGTTCACTTTTTCTTCACCCTCATTGCCCTTTTGACTTTTCGTTACCTGAGAAGACATATCCCGGCAGCATCCCCTTTCGTTCATTGGTGTTAGGGAAGGAGTAAATTTTGTTGTTTCCATTCATTAGTAGCGCAAATAGGTTCAGTTCGCACCAGTTCAAAGAAAATCTAGAACAGGTGTACACTTATGAATCTTCGAGATTGTGAACGTTGTCAGCGGGATAAGATGCTAGTGATACGAGGTTTCCAGTTTTATTTTTACAGTTTTAAGTGTAGTTTTCAACATTTGCAGTGCTCTAAAATAACGTGCAAATGTCACTTGAAAACGAAAGTGAAAAGCAAGAAAGTGAAAGTTGAAAGCAGAAAAAGAATCTATTTAAATCGTTAATGTTAATAATAAGACCATAGGTAAACGTAGATTCATCTGAAACGAAAAGTAAGGAACGAACATAAGGGACGAAAATGGCAAATGGGTATGTAGTAGGGCTGTGCCTTTTTTGGGTCAATGTCCGCGCCTTGACTGTCCGAACCGAACGGATCGCTCTATCACTGTGAACGTCGATAACCGTGTGAGACTGAAGAAAATCAGTTGAACCTAGGGTAAACCTTGTGGTCTGTGACTCAAGTGCCACTAGTTAGTGCTCACGAAGTAGTAAAGTGAGTACTGACGACAATGAGGCAGTCAACAGTAAATACTGCTAAACACACTAACATGATTTACCCATCCCAGATGTAAACGGTATGATGCTGTAACAAGCAGTAACGGAAACTACCAGTGACGAATGTACATCAATGGAATCCTCTCACAAGCCAACAACAATGGAATCTCAACCAAATCAACAGACCTTCAATGAGATTGCAGAACCTGGACACCCCACAAGAGTAAGCTACAGGCCAACATGCGTCGCAGGGCATAAATTTAAAGCGTCCTTCTCTGATAATAATTTCGGCTAACGAGACAAAAAGGTCTTATCCTAATCAAAAACAAGACAATATAGACAGTTCAATCCAATATCGTTATTCGGGCCCGCCATCCCATTGGAATAGTATCTTGAGGCACTGAAGCAGTGACACCGTTCAGCAATCAACATAGTTTTAAGTTTTCGTCAATGAAACCTCCGACCATGATGTGTCAAACAGTAAACCCCGTCAATTTAGGTGTGCAAATAAAAAACATTTCGAAGCTTAGAAAGGATTAATAGCAAGTTACCAACTGCTTCACCACTTCAATTTATCAAAAAGTAAAGAAAAATACACCAAAAACGGAGTGATCAGAGACGATAACCAAAATATTTATATTACAACTAGAAGACATTTCATGGCTGACAAGACCCTGCAAGATAAGAAATTTCCTTTATTTAGAAAACCTATACCATCTCACAGAAGAATTGTGAACACCAATTGAAAGAAAAACACCCATTACTCATCAAATTACCAGACTGAAAGCAATAATCGGAATTCCCAGTAATTGCAGAGCCGATTCACGAGGAAGAAACATAAGAAAATATAGAAATAAGGCAAATATGGTAATCTCATTGTAAACTGAAAGAGGAGAACGACCTAAAGCCCATTCAGATGAATGAGTGTTTAGACGTTGGTCATACAAAAAGATGATTGTAACGAGTAAAAATTGGCATCATTTATTGTTCCTAAAAATATTATCTGCAACTTGCCCCTATAAAATATGACCATTTCAAATGTTATAACTGCAGGAACCACAAGCAGACTCAAACAGTAGAATGCCACTATTATAAAAATAGCCAACCACTAAAATAAGAACCCTACCAATTAGAAATGGAACCAATGGATAAAAATTGCGCCACCTCACAATAGCCAACCTAATCTTCCCAGAATGTCATACTCACTCAAACATCCCCAAACTTTACACCATAAACAACACAACAGACAGAATATTAGTATCAATCCATAACTCCCAATATTAAACTTCCATGTTGCCACATGCGACGAGAACATACTTATCATCCATTATGCAATACAATGCACTATATAATCAGATAATCAGTTTATATTATCCATCCAGTAATAATTAACAGTTCCATGGTATCGCATCTCAGCATACAATTTAATAATAATTATGCACAAACACAAATTTAAAGTAGATTACATACTTCCAGTTTGGAATGCAAATGGAAGTAATCAATAAAATCTAGATGGATATTTTGCAAATACAGCAAATACGAACTATATTGGCTTTGCATAACAGAACAACATGTAAATTCAATACGGATAGAAATAATCAGACAGATACTAACGCACAATACGTAACGGAGATAGATGTTATGATACTATTTAGGGCACTTTATCATGGTTCCGGATAATATTGACCACAACCTTTATTGAAAAAAGCGCTGAATTAAGTTTATGTAATAACACATCTGTAAACACTTCATGGTGTGCATTAAGCCCCCAACATGAGAAAAACAAACATATACACAATATGGGGTTATTTATCAACACACCCTTTCAATACCTAGTGTCGTTAATGCTAAAGGTATGTACAGTGGGATGGATGTAAAAAACAATAATCCAGTGGGGGATAGCATATTACAATATAACGCACATTATCATCACACCCAATGAACCAACGTCTATCCATTTGATCGTCTGGAACCGAACCTGTTAACATAGGTATCAACAATTTACAAGAATTTTTTTCAAGTCCACTGATATGGGCTCACACCACCTACCAGCAACAATTCAACACAAAAAACATTCACTCCCCCACACCACCCATTCACACAAGCTTCAAACAAAAACAACAATTAATTGCAAAATTAAAAAGTAATGTTAAACAATCCCCGCACCCCCCCTGCCTTAGACCCCTCAGAAAGTGAGATCAATGCGGAATAGATGCCAAT